GGAGGCATGCAAGATTTCTGGGTGCAGTGTAATGTATCTGCAGAGGACCCAAGAACAGCATATCAAAAGAAAGGAACAGAGAATTTCTCTGACACACCTTCTTCCTCAGTGATATATATTTCTGAAAGGATTGCTGTTTTCATCCCTGTCTGTCCTCTGCACACTGCATATCTGTTTTTCCCCATACAAGGCACTTGCTTTGGTTTTCTGAAAAGACTTTTGCTTAGAGATTTCTGCAATTCTTTTCAGTTTAGCTGAGACAGTATGTACTGCTCCAAAAGATCAATTGAAATACAATTTTAAAAAAGTCAGCATCTTAGAGCGAGGTCTGTTAGGCTGTGGAATAGTCTCCCAGGGATGCAATGGAAATGACTTTGCTTGCAACAAATAAAACTGCTGAAACAAAATACTAGAAATTATAGAGTAGAGAGCAAATGAGATTCTTGCAGAGACTGAGCTGGGATTTAGCAGACATGATGGGTCAGTACAGGCAGTTCTGACTTTTTTTTTTTTGTCCTCTCCAACTCTACTTGTGTAAACAAAAAAGGAATGCATTTTGTTCAAACTAAAGAAAAAAGTCACATAAAATCACTCATTTTTTATATACCTAAATAGTTCTCCCATAGTTTAATTGAAGCTGTAATTTCCTACGTTTCTGTACTGTGTTCAAAGTCATCATATATTACATATAACAGACAAAGCTACATTTGTTTTAAGTAATTATCTCTTTTGAAGTGCATTGTCTAGATTTAAGACTTTCCAACTTTGTAAGTTGTTTCACCATCCTGAAATTTCCAAAAGCTGTGTGCATGCACATCTTCTTTTTCTGAGATGGTAAGGGTTAGAGCCTTGTCTGATTTAGTTATTAATTCTCACTGTTCCCCATCCACAAACTGTGCTACATTTCAGTTTCCACTAGCAAAACTCATAGTGCAAGCTCAGGCAATCCTGTAAAAACGTGCCACGGCATCTGTTCATTGTATTCAGTTTTCAGGACACTATTTCCTTCTACTTCTTCATATAAATTGTGATGAAACACAAGATCCATGACATATTCTTGTCCTGTATACCAGAAAGAAGCCGTTTTATCTTAAATGCAGAAGTGGTTAGATATTCATGGAATACCAGGAAAGGTCAGGCTTAAAGCGTTTAAGGCATTTCTCTCATTTGTCTGGATAAAATGTATTAAATCATATATTCCCGATGGAAGGTAAAGCCTGAGTAAAATTCTACTAAAATGGAATTGGATACTTATGAAAGCTATGGTACTCCTGTGTCTCTAATTTATAATGCCTGCTGTATAAAAAAGAAATCTCATAAAGTGACCTGGAAGGATGTAGGGCCAAATTCTTTCTTACCATTTCTAGCTAATTCGCAAGCACCTTGTGGTCCACTGGGCACTATGGCAAAGACATGGTTGGACCATCTAGCACAAATACCTATAAAGATGGAAGTGTGAGGTGAACAAGACCCTCAGATTCAAGGCCACAAGCTTTGTATGGACTTATCATAAGAAAACAAAAGCTGCATGTTTAAGCGCAGATGACACCGGCTAGTTGCATTAAAAGATCTATGTATGAGTTTTATAGCTGATTTTAGATTATGCTTGTCTTTCTGTTGGATACAGGAGATCAGAGCCTCTGGGGGAGGAAAAAAAAAAAAATGGAAAAAAAAAAAGCAGGAATTTCAGCTCTTAGCTCCAGGGATGTGAGGATGACCGAAATGGAACAGCTGGGATACCCAGATTTATTCTTTTAATAGATGCTGAAAAGAAGATCTCTTTGCTTTTCTCTGTTGTTCCAGTTTCAAGAGCATAGCATTGCACCAATTTATTTCTAGGATAATCAGTGAATGTCATGGATATCCATAATGAACTTACAGATCCCTCGGATGAATCCAAGGAGCCTTGGATCAGACCCAAAAGTGCAATTCATCTTTCAATAATTGATCCCTATTATATCTGAAACTGAAAAATCTGTACGAGTGGTAGGTCACAGATTTCTCATCCCCTATCTATGGATAATTTTAAGGATTTGGATCATTTTTAAGCCTGAACTCTACAGTTAGTTTGCTTTAAAGCTCCATATTGTATCTAGTTTTCCCGTGGGCTTTTATTTTCATTTGATTTCAACAGATGTTATTTACTGCTATTTCTCTCTGCTTTGGAGAAGGATTTATCATTGAGAAGTATTTTCTTTTTAGCGCACAAATACATAAAATCCAGGCATGAAGCCTGACCAAAACAGCTGGAAAGTGACACTGAAATTAACGCTATAGAGCTGCTTCTCTAATCTGCTGAGCAGTTTATATAAATGCAGTTTAAATAAAATGAGTCTGCAAGCAGCAAAGATTAAAGGATATTAAATCCTGGCTTTAGAAATGATGGCCATGATAGCAGGAACTATATCCTATAGTGTGCATTTTTTTCTTTCATATAAGGAGGTTATATGAGGTCATATACGAGGTTATATCTGGCGTCACAAGCTTCTTAGGGTAAACTTAATTAAAGTAATTTAAGAGAAAAAATGCAAAAGGAGAAACAGGTAGCTGTTTTGATTTTGGAAATGAAGTATCTTAAAATATGTATATTTCTGTGTGCTAGAGGTATGTCTCCCTGTACATAGTGGAGGACTTAGAGGGAGAAAGCTGTTGCATATTTCTTTTTCCTATGACTTTGCATACACGTGAGCACAAGGATGGCTTGCATAAAATGGAAAATTCATTCACGTTGTTCATAGCATGGAGGGAGAGGGAGGCAGGAGGGGAGGGGCATTTCCCTTTTCCTGGGAGACAAGAGCTCAGTGAATAATAAAGGTTTCCTCCAAGAACAGAATATGCTACACATGCTGGCAATGCATTTTTCAGTGTTTCTAATGTTTCTATACAGCTGTGATTCGTGGATATAATAAAATATTGATACCTGTTTCCACCATTCTATCATGCAGCAAAAAAGTCTTTATGTGATCCAAATTTAGCATTCCTGCAATTAACTGGAGACTGTAAGTTGTTTCTTGCCCTGGTCGAAAAGCTCTGTGCCACCCCATCTGCTGCTCCAAATGCCAGACCTCGGAAATACCACTGGACGGCAGGGCTGTTTGTAAAGGAGTGTTTGCTGTTGTATTCAAGTTTCTGATTAGCTTAGTAAAAACATTTCCCTACCAGTTTGTATTACTGAGCTGTTGCTGAGCTACAGGCCCAAGTCTAATCTCAGATTGATGAAGTGTATCCAACATGACATTTGACTCAATCTGCTCATAAATAATAATAATACTTTACATTTATAGAACCTTTTCAACAAGAGCTCTCTCAAAAGGCCTTTTTGACCTCCAATTTATCTGTTGTGACTCTCCCTGAATTAGAGGCAAGCGTAATGTCCTCTACTCCACTACCACATTTGGTACGGCAATGGCCATGAGACAAATCACATTCACAATGAGATTTCAGCTGTCTTATCTACATGATGCTCAACAATCTATCTCAGTGGGTATCACCTCTAATATTATTAGGGACTCAATCACTCAGAAATCTGTCAACCATATACAAATCTGAATGCTCAACAAGTACAACTTCATTTTTTTTCCAAATCTGGAATCTACAAACCACAAATAATTACATAGACTTAAGAAGATAGTTTGGTAATATTTACTCCAGAGTAGTTCTAATTTTAAGTACAATTATCTGATGGATGAAAACATTAGTTTCACCAAGTGAAAAAAGAGGCTCCTGAGCTTATTCTGGGTTTAAGGTGTTTGTTCCTCTGCCTTAACTAGAGAACCTACAGAAATAGTGTCACACAGTGGTATATTTCAATACCAAACCTAAGTGTTTGCTCAGGTCATATCAAAATAAGACTTCCGTCTGTTTATTGTTAGGATTTTTTTTTTCCACCTTAGCTTGTGAGGCTAGATTTTTAAAGGCATGAAGGCATCAAGCAATGCAGATAGGTGTTTTCAGATTCACGTGCTATACCTATTGCAACTGCTGAAGTCTAAATCCCATGAATAGTATCACCTTTGATAAATTGTGGAGGCTGGCTTCAACAGTCTGCCAATGCGCAGTATCCATCTACATTCCTATCTGCCCAGAACTCATCATAACACTTTTCCTCCTGGCTCCTGGTGAAAGTAGAGGTAAAACTTCTATTGCCTGCAAGAACAGAACTCAGCCAAGTGGAATTCTAGCCTTTTTATTTTTAAGGTAATTTATTTATTAGAGATAGTTTTACTGTTGATGTTTTGTGTGCTCTTTGTTCGCATTTATGTGTGTGATACTCTTTTGATTTGAAAAAATCCTCATATACTTTAGGTTACTTTACAGTAGCTTTATGGCTCATGGGCTATTCTAAAGACAGCCCAGGAAAAACTACAAAAATACATGGAATGAGCAAGGATAGAAAGAGAATGCATCAACTCCTGCATGAGAAATTCTCAGCTTGTAAATGAGAGATTCAACCATAAATTCCTCCTCTGAAACAGGCAGAAAAAGGACAAACTTTGCACTGAGTGCTTAGAGATTTTAGCTGTGCTGGCACAAACTCTTAGATCTCTGGTTTTACATTAAAAATGTAGAAAATCTTCTTTTTAATCCAGTATGGCTATATTCCCCAAATTATGCCAATAAGGCCATTATATAGCATCTTGTCCTTGATAAGATGCCCATAGAATCAGCAAGTACCAAAAGTAAGCAGATCTATGGTCTTACGATACATCATAGGCATGTTCCTTTACACATCCTTGCCAGGTCTGTTTTTTTTGCTTTGTTGTTTTGTTTCTGCTTCTTGTTTATTTATTTATTTATTTATTTATTTATTTTGTTTTGTTTTGCTTTTGTTTTGTTTTTAAACCTTCTTTCACCTGTTGATACTCCTGTACTCACATCCAGACTTGCAGCACTTCCCATTGCTAGAGACTAGTTGTCTGCAAATCCATTACATCACTTACTGGAAATTCAGTTTAGGCAGTTTAGGCAAAGGTTCCGGATAGGATTAAAAAATTTCATACCTCCTTTGCAGTGTTTCAGCACTAATGGTAGACATCCCATATCACCACAGAAAAGATGTGGAGTTTTTGGAGAGCGTACAGAGGAGGGCCACAGAAATGATCCAAAGACTGAAGTACCTCTCCTATGAAGACACAGTGAAAAAACTGGGCTTCTTCATCCTGGAAAAGAGAAGGGTACAGGGACACCTCATTGCAGCCTTCCAATATTAAAGGGAAGGAGAAAAATCTATTTTGTACATGGGTGGATAGTGATAGACAAGGTGGAATGGTCTTAAACTGAAGGAGGGAGATTTAGATTGGATGTCGGGGGAACTTTTTCACTGAGAATGATGAGGTACTGGAACAGGTTGCCCGGAGAGGCTGTGAATGCCCCATCCCTGGAGGTATTAAGGCTGGGTTGAATGGGGTCTGGACAGTCTGATCTAGTACTTGCTCCAGCAGCTGGCAGCCCTGCCTGTGGCAGGGAGCTGGAACCTGATGATCCTTGAGGTCCCTTCCAATCCATGCCTTTCTATGATTACTTGATCCTATCTATGATTAGGTGATTCTGTGATTCTATAAACTCTCATAGATAAACTAAATAGATACTATATATCATCTTTGCAGTTTGGCATCTGATAGCAAACTGAAGTCAAAAGGTTAAGTCAATTGTTCTGACCTCGTACCTTAAGTCTGAACTACTTATTCCTATCTTCCTTCAGATGAAGCAATCACATAAAAATGAAGCACTTTCTAATAAAAACAGTATGTGTTCAGACCTCTATTCAAGACAGAAGGAATTTTGATAGTTCTGATTTTATGGACTGTAGACTAGGGAGGCAAAGTATGTTGATTTTCTTATAGAGGATAGAAATAAAGTGAAATGAAAGCAGATGGATCTGCCCTAGCAGTGAACCATTGGATACAATACTTTGCTTCAGTGAGTATCCAAATTATTTTCAGGTAGTTTGGCACATAGGTAATTTATGTGCTTCGTTCTCTGCCTGCTATTTAGAAGCTGTTTCTCAAGCAGGGATTGTTCTCTGAACTGTTCATGCACTTTGCATGCACTATTTCACTCTTAACTCTTCTAATATTCCTCTTAAGGTTAACTTAGTGAAGTGAATTCAATACACTTTTTTGTTGCACTCAGAGACTTTGCTTGTGGCTAGAGTCAAACTGAAAACGGTAAGGGTGCTCCTAGGTGACTGCCTGCTTGATGACTGAGTGCATGATGCAAGAGAGGCTGTCCCAGCCATGATATGTTTGCTGTCACTGAGGAGCTATGACTGTAGTGTCTCTGCAAAGAGCAATGCCATCGAGTACATTTTTTGGACAAAAAATGAAAATTTTTCCTTTGAGATCTGACATACAAAAAGTGACTTCTAGATGTAGTGATCTGTTTCATACTTTGGGATATAAAGCAGAAAACTGAAGCACAAATTATTGTTTCAGACAATGTACAACTCAGAGTTAAAACCACTCAGTATCCTGAGTTCCCTGATCCCACAAACACAAACCAATTGTCCCCTTCACTTGTGAAGCCTAGGGTAGAGAGGTGATACTCTCCATAAGGACAGTTACAAAAGATTTTCAGAGGAAGCAGCTGAAAAACTAACAACTGTCCACAATGGGACTTTAATACCTGGAAATCACAGTACTGAATGAAGTATCCAGAGTGTCTATACAGAAAGACTTGAACACTTTAGAAGAGCAGGATACACATTTGCATCATTACATCATGCCTCAGTACATCCTTCCTCCAACAAATTAAAACAAAAAAAGTCAAAGGCCTCAAATGAGTATGGTAGCAGCATTATTATAAGAAATTGCCAAGGTAACACCACCACATCTATGTGATTTAAATAACAAATACACAAACGTATCTTTGGAGGTTCTCAGACTTTTCAAAACCATCTGAAAGAGCTGACGCAAGTAGATTTATAGAAGAGGATAAATCTTGGCAAAATACTGCAGAGCAGCTCAATTAACCTGCTTCGGGGAAACCTAGTTTAATTGCTGGACTGCAATCACTTCCGATAAGTTCTGATACTAACATTATTATATATACGTCTGTAAAACGTATGTTCATCAGCTATTCTTTCTAAGGCAGCTAAATAAAGCTGACAGCCTCTCATTTAAAATTATATATATATATATATATATATATATTTGCTAGCATTATAACTTCTAAAGCCACCAGTTAGAGGTCAGTAGGTAATTTTACCAAGAGAAATAGAGATGGTAGCTTCTTCTCCCAACACTGTTTTCCCCCTGATATGTGTTACTGCAATGTTCATTTTCTATACTGTTCTTCTGGCACAGAATTTCATTACTGTGTGGCCCACTTCCCACAAACTACTCTGGTGTGCCATTTCCTGAAGAGCAAAATGAAGAACAGCATCTCATCTCATAGGTGCTGGAATGAGCTGTTCCAAAATTTGATGTTCAAGGATGTTGGGAATTTGTTTTCCCACATTTCCGTAACATTTATTCAATTTCAGTAATGAGATGAAGAATTTTTTGCTGTTTTAGTTGTGTGAAGGCACCTTTGAGTGGAGACAAACAATGTGTAACTCCTAGGGTCCCTAGATTAAAAATACCTGTTATGGAGCTGCAAGCATGCTTCTGGGAAATATCCTTAGAATAATGAAAAACAGGCCTGCTTGACTCTCTGGTCTCCTTCCAGATCCTTCTGTCAATAAGAATGCTAGTGAAACAAAGACATTACTATAGCAGTATTCTTCCAGCTTTTGACCTGTAGCTAAAAAGTTTTACTTTGTAGTGAGTACTCCACTCCAACTTACTGGCTGCATCCTCAGACCCTGAGGTACTTGCTGTCATGTTTTAGGCAGAACACTGGACAAAAGAGGAGGTTTCCTGCTTTTAACTCTCTCACTTACAGGAGAGTTTAACATGATTCATCTCAGTATTTCTTATTGTCAAAACAGACATCAGAAGCAGCATTTTCCAATGCCTTGGTTGAAGACAAGGTGTTGGTCTACATGGCTCTTCAGTTAGAACTAGGAAAGTCAGTCCTACATTCATATGTTTTAATGTTGTCAGATATTTTAGGAAAGAAGTGCCTAGAGGTTCCAAGCTGCAGTATACTGGGATACTGCACGATAGCAATTGCACCATATGCAATTTGTACGTATTTATGAAACTGCATAAAAGATTTAATTTTTTTCCCCAGATGTTAAGCCTACCCAGTATAATCACTCTGTAGTGAATCTATCTATTGTTACATTAGCACTGAGAATTTACGGCTTGAATAAATTTTTGTTACCTAGGGAAATTTACATATGTAAATTTAAGCAGCAAAAATCCCCAACCTATTGGTATTGAAGTTTTCTTGCTTTGTTTCATTAAAAAAAAAAAAAAAAAAAAAAAGCATTTTAAAATAATTAATCTTCTATAGAGGCACATTTTAGCAAGATGTGCTATTTTGGAAATAGACAGCTAAGCTTTGTTAGCCTGCAAAATTTGCAAATAGATGAGAACCAACTTTTAGTAAATGAGATAAGGTGATAAAGCATGTACTCTTTAACTAATTGTAGACATAATGCATAAAGATCCCATGAAATGACTTCTGTTAAGCTAGGCATTAGTATAAATTAGCTCAGCTGTGAGAATGGTCTCTCTTTTCTTAAGAGCTGAATAGATTTGCTGTGACACTATTGTAGAAATCTCTAGAGATGCTCTGTGGATAATGATGAATATTGAATTAATTTCCAAAAGTACTCCAAAACTTTTGACTCTTAGTTGTATTACCAGGCTGACGAATTTTATGCGTAATCTTGTATCTTCTGTTTCAATATCAAAGCACACAATATAGTCATTATTCTCCCAAAGAACAACTAGCTTAATCAAAGGGATGACTGGATTCTGCAAGTGAAGCTTTTTAAAATGTAAAATTTTATTTAGCAAACCCAAATGACTCTTTCTGAATGTGACACCGGGTGTTTGTCCAAGGAGTCAGGAAAACTATTAGCTCAAAGAGAAAAGTCTGGGCTGATGGAGTTCCACATCTCCAATTACGACACATAGGGGTGGCTACTAAACAGTCAACATCTGCCAACGGTCTTTACAGAATTATTCTTTTTATAGTTTAAGAAAAAGCCTGTGCTGTCTTTGATTCTCTTGTGCAGGAACACTTGACATTTGTGACCACAGTCTTCTGGTGCTGAAGAGATTTCATTTGTCTTTCAGAGAGCTTCCAGATCAGAGCTAGCGACATCATTTGAGCTGACAGCACACAAAAACCTTCCTCATAACAAGACAGCTTACCCATGGACAGCTGTAACTGAGCAGTAATTACATATGTACATTTATATTCTGGAGAAATGGAAAGTTGCACGCAAAGACACGTGGTCAGAGAGGTACCAGTACACAAATACAGTAGGGAATTCAAGTAGGATTCCCATTTTGCGGTGCTGTGGCTCACAGTAATTTTAGTCCAATTCCTATTAGTCCTTAAGGGAAGGATTTGTGAAGAATTCAAATGTAACTAAAGAGGCATGGGAATGCAGGGCAGGTACTGAGGAAAGGCTCAAAATCCCACCTATGGAGAGTCCCATGTAGCAAGGTATTGATAGTAACAAATCCACCAAACAGGATGCCAGCTGTTGTTACCTGTAATTCTCCAAGACAGTGAGACCTACTACCTGCACAAGCATACTCATCTCCAATTGCAGTTTAACACAAGTTTAATACAAGCCTACTTCTACCAGAAGTTCTGCTTTTATTTATCAAATCTGAATACGTGGCAGCAAAAGATCTTACCAGGAGCAGATCTGGAAAAGTGTCTGTCAGCCAAACAATGAAACTAAGACCGGTTACCCACGGAAAGGAACACCAGCTGCTCTTTCAGCTACTTACTTCACTCGCTGTTAACAGCAATAGTTAGATTAGTAGGTTGTTCCTCTGCAGAGCATTAATTAATAAATTAATCCCTGCATAGCCTACTTCCCAAAAGGCAGAACATTCACCGTAGATGAGATTTTGCAAACACAAGGAGGGAATAGCACAGTAAAAGAGACAGGTACAAGAAAGTATAGGGAGATGTTGTTTACCTATAAGAATGAGCTTATAGAATGAGCGCTTTAACAAGGTCATGGTTTTGTAACTTTTAACATGGGTTTTTATATAATTGTCTACTTCGTAGTTACGATCCTCTT